TCGTGCAGGAAGAGCTTGGGGGAATTATGCAGGACCGGGTTAGAAAAAGAACCAAAAAAGGACTCCAGGAGGAGGGGAGAGGGGCTGCCTTCCGGGTGGATATCCCTGCCCCACTCCCCTTCCCCACTGACCCTTCTCTGCCCACAGCTAACACCGGCTCACGTGGTATGTGCCTCCCTGAATGTTGGGCCCTTTATGTGCTCTGTGTCGCCTCAGAGACCCAGGTGTGTCCCTAGAGAGATGACAAGGAATCCCCGGCTTCTTGCTAGATGCCAGGCCAAGGCGCCTTCAGCCGTGAGGACAGTGTCTTCCTCCTCTGCCCACTGCCAGGGGCTCAGGGTAGCCTGCGTCACGCTGACAGGCACCCGGACACCGTTCAGCACAGCGCAGAGTCGAGGCAGAGAAAGAGCCTTCCCCTCCCGCAGCGGGCACGTGCAAGCCCTTGGCAGTGCCCAGACACATTTGGAGTTAAGGCTGGGCTGGGGAGGGGGAAGGGAAGATAAACATGGTGGCTTAGGTTGGCACTGCCCCAGGTGTGCCCTGTAGCAACTGGCAGTGGCCGGGGTGAGGGAGGAGGGGTCCTCCAGAGCGATGGCCTGGGGCAGGAATTGCCCGTGTCATGTGGCTGCTGCTGGTGTTCTCCGCCTGGCCTGGCCCACGGCTGCTCACACCCACTTGCACACACCCTGGCCCTCTTCGTCTGCCCCCAGGGCCTGCTCCCCAGGGCTGCCCCTCTCTCAGCATGCCCACTCCTGCGCCTGCCTCCTCCCCTCCCCAGGGGCACTTGGGCCTCCTGCTGGCGAGTGGATTTTTCCAGCCTCTGTAAACAAGTGGTGGCAGCGTGCCAGGTGGGCAGGAGACAGGCGGGGGCAGCACTGCAGCCAGGGTGTGCCAAGCACCGAGGCACAGCCTGGGGGGGGAGATGGGGAGACACCCAGAGAGAGAGAGAGAGAGAGACATTCAGATGCAGACAGACAGACCCAAGGAAGCCTTGTTGGGCACAGATAGAAGTGGAAACGGGCGACAGAAAATAGCCCTCTATTGTCCAGCCCAACCCCACCACTGCCCTGGCCCCTTACCCCTCACTGCTCTGGCTGAGAGCAGCAGGCCCCAGTGCCCAGTCCCTGGGCATCCCCACCCACTCCTACTTCTCCCCCCACCTCCACCCCTCAGGGCTGGCTACGCCATTATAAATTTATAACAGGAATTTCTCCACAAGCCAAGAAAAACTTGACCTACTTTCTTGACGGCTCTCCGGGCTAAGGCTCCCCGCTCACAACCCCCCCCCCAGTCTCCTGTCCAGCCCCCAGTGCCCTGTTCTGGTCTGTGGGGGTATCCGAGGCAGAGTGGGCCACCCATCTGTCCCACTGCCACACTCCCTACACTGAGGGCTCACCTGAGTGCAGACGCCCTGCCCCACTGCCCTGCCCAATGGCCTGACTTATCTCACATTCCCCTCCTACTCTGGCTCCTTATCAGCTCCTGGGGGTGGGGCGGAGGGCCCAGGGGCGAGGTCTCTGGGGCAGCAGCTACTGGATGAAGGTTGTGTGTTGGGAACTGCACCCTTTGTCCCCCTTAAACATGCCCACACCTGCCTGTGTGCACAGACAGTAAACCTCAGGTCGGGAGCCTGTGGTCAGAGGTGCATGTGGAGGAAACGGTGGGCCCAGCTTGGCACGGCCCTGGCCCCCAGGCATTGGAACAAGACAAGCATTCAAGCCCGGCTTCGGGGTTTCAAGCCCTGAGCCACCTGCTCACTAGCTTGGTGACTTGGAGTGAACGCCCAGCTTTCTGAGCCTCGGTTTCCTCATCTGTGAAGTTAACACGCGTTAGTTTCCTTTCCTTTACCCCTTGCCGTCCTGGTGGGTGGCAGCTCAGCTACACCAACTGGGCTGTCTGGTCCTCAGACTGGGAAGTGGGACTTGGGACCTTCCCGGACAGCTCTGGGGTCCTTGGGAGGCCGGGTTGGAGTCACAAGTCGGCCAGCAGCAGGGGAGGTCAGCTCCCCACCGTCTTCAGTATCTCTCTCAGGTGCCCCCATTCCCACACCCCATCCTTCCTTCACAAGGACCCCCACCCCCCATGCCTGGGTTGAAAATTGCTCATCTCTGGTCCCCTCTTGCCCTAGAGTATGGTGCGTTTTATAAAAACTTGGCTAGATGAGTGGTAACAAGAGCATTTATTAGACATTGTTAGGGGCCAGATACTTGATTGAATGTGAGGACTGGGACATGGTACATGGATGATCTCATTCTTTCCCTCCACCCCTTTCCGTGTCTGGGGCTTAGGACATGACTCTCCAGTTTTGCCTGCTAAAACCTGTCCGTCGGAGGGGTTCTCCTGTTCCCTCCCTGTGCCTGCCCTCCATGCCCACCGCCATCTTGTTAGGAGCGCAAAGAGCCCAAAATGTTGCCACCAAAGGACCGCTTTCCACCATGGTGCCACCTTATCCCTGCTTCTCTCCTCTCTCTGCAGGGACCTCGACAGGACAAGACTCCGAAGCTACTCCCCCAGCCCAGGACTCCCCCACGGACCCAGCTTTCCCCCCAACACTACCACCTGCCACTCCCTGGCCTATCTCACCGCCCACCCCCCTCGGGGCTCAGGGCATGGTGTGAAAGGCCAAGTGCTGAGGCTGGCACCATGGGTGCTGTGCCCTAGCCTGGGTGGCAGGGGGTGGGCAATCTCTGGGCGTGCCAGGGGGGGCCACTGTGCCCACCCAGTCTCTTGGCGTGCTGGAGGGCATCCTGGATGGAATTAAAGTGAATGGAACAGAAGCCAAGCAAGGTGGAGTGTGGGTCAGACCCAGAGGAGAACAGGTAATGGGTCCGGCAACTAGGTCTTGCCAACTCCTAGCCGGCAGGCATGGTCACCTGGTTGGGCAAAAGCGAGCCGAGCTTGGGCCTTTAGGGGAATGGACGCGAGGCCAGCAAACCTGCTGCTTACCTTTGCCCAGGAGATGAGGTCATGTTCATGTGACGGGAATTAGGCACCTGGAGGAGAGATGCCCATTTTGGAGTGGGGAAGTGACAAGGAGAAATTACTCGAGGCAGGCACCCGGCCCCTCCCTGGACAGTCCTGGGCAGGCTCACATGCTTCCCCCCGCCCCCCATGTGCCCACGGCCGCCCTCACCTGAGCATGTGGAATGCAAACAGTCTCGCCATTGGCCTCCTCTCCCTGCCAGCCTGCTCACATCGCCACCCGTGTGCAGCCCACGAGCCGTGGTGCACGTGACGTGACAGTTCGGGGCACATGCACCAGTAACTCTCGGTAGCCCATGCTTATATTTGGAACCTTTTGGGAGCCCCACAAGCTCTTCCTTGTTCATGGGCAAGGGCGGGCGCTGCCATGGGGCTCCTCCCAGGAAGTGGAGTGAATGCCAACTGTGAAGGTTTTGCTTACCGGTGGAGGAGGCATGAGCCCCACACACATTGCTGGGAATGGCTACCTGTGATCTGCATTACCCTTGAGGAGCCCAGAGGGTCTCTACCTCTCCCGTTAACTCCGAGTGGCACAGAACTTTGTGCCAGTTGGCGTGGTGCCCCTGGAGCTGGGTACAGCCTGTGTCTATGGCCAGGGAGAGGGTGGGGGATGGGTTGTTCTGGGGAGCAGAGTGGCCGTTGCCTAGGAGACCAGATTCTGAGCCAGGAGGCCAGAAGCCTGGCCAGGCAAAGCCCTGGGGCCCAAGACTGGGTCTCTGGAGGGGTGGGGGAAATGGATGGGGCTGTCAGTTGGGTAGGGCACCTAGAGTTTCCCCTCCCCAAAGACTCACCCCAGGGTGGGGGGCTCTGAAAAAGATCGGGCGTGTCACTGCAGTAGCTCTCACTGGCAACCTCTGTACTTCCCTGCCCA